TGGAATTACCTGGAGCTATGTCGTTATCTGCAGCAGATTCTCAGAATTTACAAGTGTTGGAGGAAAAACAGGATCCAAAAGACCAAAGAATGACACGTGCGGCTCATAAGCGTAAGGAAAGACAACAGAAAGAGGCTATGCCCCAAACATCTGCAATTACTTCGGAGCCAGTGGGAGGAGCCAGGCCTAAAAGATCTGTTACAATGGATCTTCAAGGGTTGATTCAGAAGCTCCAAAAACCAAAGGATGGTTAAGTTAATAACCTTAAATGTTAATGGATTGAATTCACCACAAAAAAGGAGAAAAATATTTTACTATTTGAAGCAGCATAAGAATGATATTACATGTTTACAAGAAACACATATTACATCAAAAGATCAAAAGTACTTATTTAATCCTAAATTGGGTGTATATTTTGTGGCCTCCTCTCAAAAGAAAAAAGCGGGTGTAGTTCTTTATATCAAGAAGGAATTGATACCAAAATTAATAGATACTGATGCAGAAGGAAGATTTGTATTTGTGGAAATTATCTTGAATGGGAAAAAATGTCTTCTTGTGGGATTATACGCACCAAACCTATATTAACAACAAAAGCAATTTTTACTGTTTTGCATCAAAAGATAATGCAACTGGATTATAAATCGGTTATTATGATGGGAGATTGGAATGGTGTAATAGATCCAAAAAGAGATAAAAAGACTTCAGCTAAAACTTCAACACAAATCAAATTGCCTAAAAGTTTTTTTGCCTTACAGGAAGATTTTGAGCTAAGAGATATATGGCATGAAAGTGATTTCACCTTTTTTTCGGATAGGCATCAATCTTACTCTAGAATTGATTTCATTTTGACCACTACTGACTTGATGCCTAGGATTAAGAAGGTAAAGATTTTCCCTAAGATTTTGTCGGATCATAGTCCTGTCTGGATGGAGATCTTAACTGAGGGAAATAGTAGAAGGACTTGGAGATTGAATGAGAATTTATTGAATTATGAAACAAATGTCCAGAAACTAAAGGATCACTTAA